GATTCGGCGCGAATCGAAATTTTTCTAATATTCGAAACGAATTCCACTTCGCCTACTTCGATTCGTCATCTCTAATAATAATAATAATAATAATAGATCTGTCAGGTTTCAGGGCTGTTGCTGAGCAACACTGAGTTTCAGCTCCCTTCCAAACATGTTCTATTGGATTTAGGTGTGGAGACTGACTAGGCCACTCCAGAACCTTGATATGCTTCTTACGGAGCCACTCCTTGGTTCTCCTGGCTGTGTGCTTCAGGTCGTTGTCATGTTGGAAGACCCAGCCACGACCCATCTTCAATGCTCTGACTGAGGGAAGGAGGTTGTTGCTCAAAATCTCACAATAAATGGCCACATTCATCCTCTCCTTAATACAGTGCAGTCGTCCTGTCCCCTCTGCAGAAAAGCACCCCCAAAGCATGATGTTACCACCCCCATGCTTCACAGTAGGGATGGTGTTCTTGGGATGCAACTCATCCTTCTCATCCTTCTTTTTCCTTCAAACACGATGAGTGAAGTTTAGACCAAAAAGTTCTCCTTTGGTCTCCTCTGACCACATGACTTCTCCCATGCCTCCTCTGGATCATCCAGATGGTCATTGGCAAACTTCAGACAGGCTTGGACATGTGATGACTTGAGCAGGGGAACCTTCCGTGCAATGCATGATTTGAAACCATGACGGCGTAGTGTTCTACCAACAGTGACCTTTGAAACTGTGGTCCCAGCTCTCTTCATGTCATTGACCAGCTCCTCCCTTGTAGTTCTGGGCTTCCACCTTTCTTATCATCAGTGATACCCCACGAGATGACATCTTGCATGGAGCCCCAGTCCCAGGGAGACTGACAGTCATCTTTAGCCTCTTCCATTTTCTAACAATTGCTCCAACAGTTGATCTATTTTCACCAAGCTGCTTGGCAATTGCCCCGTAGCCCTTTCCAGCCTTGTGGAGGTCCACAATTTTGTCTCTGGTGTCTTTTGACAGCTCTTTAGTCTTGCCCATGGTAGTAGTTGGCGTCTGACTGACTGTGGGGTGGACAGGTGTCTTTACAGAGCTCAGACAGGTGCTACTAAGTTAAATGAGTGGAGTAGAGGTGGACTTTTTGAAGGCACAGTAACAGGTCTTTGAGAGCCAGAATTCTTGCTGTTTCTTAGGTGTTCAAATACTTATGTTCAGCCCGTGCGAGACAAATACATTCTTTAAAAATTATACAATGTGATCTCCTGAAATTTTTTTAAATTCTGTCTCTCTGAGTGGGAATGCACCTACAATGTGAATGTCAGACCCCTCTATGATTTCTAAGTGGGAGAACTTGCAAAATCGCAGGGGGTTTAAGTACTTCTGTTCCTCACTGTATACAACTGTCATGTGACCTGCTGTGATTGGTCACATGGTACCGGCAACAGTGCCCGTACTCAGATCTGTCATCGGCCGTGTCCGAGGTACACGGCCAGTGACAGACCGCGCCGCTGCGCGGCTCTGCAGCCACGCAAACTGCGCATGCCCGGTAGGACGCCATATGGCGTCCACCCCGAAAGGCTGATGACATTTGCCGGCCACCATTTGGCCAAGTAGGAAGACTTTGTTTTATCTTCAAACACAATGTTTAAGGACTTGGCTAATAAACCTTTATTGTGAATTTCTTGTCTTTCAGATGTTGAAGACCTGTGGATCTGTGTGACCACAAATACTCATTTGCAAGTGAAAAACAGAAGACAGCCCTATATTGACAAGCAAATATTTATTTTGCATTGATGTCTCTAGAAAATTAATTACAAGGACTTTTAGAATAATGGACTCTTTCAATAGTCATCAAGCAATGGACTTTACATTGTGACCATCATTTTTTTCTATTTTCTTTCATTTTTTTTCTCTCTTATTTTCAATATCTTTTATCTCTTGATATATACCAGAGAGAGGTATTTAAATTTGATACTCATTTTAACTCCAGAGGATTTACCCCCCTTAATGACCACGCCTCTTTTTGCTACTCGGTGCTGCACTAATTCAACTGATAATTGCACGGTCATGCAATGCTGCACCCAAACAAAATTTACGTCCTTTTTTTCACACAAATAGAGCTTTCTTTCGGTGTAATTTGATCACCTGTGCACTTTTTATTTTTCACGCTATAAACAAAAAAAAGCCAAAAATTTTGAAGAAAAATAATATTTTTTATTTTCAGCTATAAAAAATATATATAGTAAACTCAAAGTTGGTTATAAATTTAGGCCAAAATGTATTCTGTTCCATGTTTTTGGTAAAAAAAAATCCCAATAAGTGTATATTGATTGCTTTTTGTGGAAGTTATAGCGTCTACAAACTATGGGATATATACTGCAATTTACACCATTTTTCTGCTATACAGAACTGCGCTATTTTAACGGACAATTGCGCAGTCATGCAATATGGTACATAAATTAAATTTACATCCTTTTTTCTCCACAAATTGAGCTTTCTTTCGGCGGTATTTGATCGCCTGTGTGGTTTTTATTTTTAGCGCTATATAAAAAAAAAGGCTGACAATTTTGAGGAAAAAAAAACAATATTTTGGACTTTTTGCTATAAAACATGTCCAGTAAAAAAAAAAAATGCAAAAATCAAATTTAGTCATAAATTTCTGCCAAAATGCATTCTGCAACATTTCTTTGCTAAAAAAAAACCCAATACGTGTAAATTAATTGGTTTACATGAAAGTTATAGCGTTTACAAATGGCGGGAAAGATACTGGGATTTTTAGTTTTTTTTTTTATACTAATAATGGCAGCGATCAGCGAATTATGGCGGCGATCAGGGACTTATGGCAGTGACCAGCGACTTATGGCGGGACTGTGGGACTGTGGCGGACATTTTGACATTGGGGGGGGTACTGACTTGGGGTCACTGACATCCCCAAAAACACTAATACAGTGATCAGTGCAAAAAAAAAAAAAAAAAACTGACACTGTACTAATGGCAATGGGGAGGAAGGGGTTAACTTTATTTTGCAGGGAAGGGTTATAGGAGTGAGGGGAGTGTTTTACTAGGGGGCGGGGCGGGGGTGTGTACTGGGCGGGACAAGGCTGATCGAGAAAGAGAAACTCCTCTTTCTCGATCAGCTCATCCTCGAGCTGACATGGAAGTGACAGACAGCACAGCTACTGCAGCTGTGCTCTCTGTCACTGTTCACCGCCGATCGGCGGGACATAGCCGCTAAGGAGAGGCTGTGACCAAGCGACTGACATCTGCGGCGGTGATCAGCGGGACAAATAGGGTGGCGGCGCGCCTCGCGTGCGCCCCCTATTTGTTTACAAAACACACGTCTTAAAACGTGGTTTTGCCTGTGAGTGCCGCCCTGCATGTACAGTGGCTGGTTGTATACAATGGATGGCTTCATTCATGCCATCCATTGTATACTAGTGCCTAGCTGTGAATGGTCACAGCAGGTCACATGCACATGTCATGTGATTAGCTGTGGCCAAATCACAGCTAAGCGCAAAAAAAAAAAAAAAAAACCTGAATGAATCGATGTCATTCAGGTAAATGCTTGCTTATAGCATTAAAGTAATTCTTTGCTATAAGCAAATTGTGTAAAAAAAAAAAATATATACTGATCACTTCCCCAAAGTAGTACAATGTTACTATGGTAAGATTGTACTACTTTGGTCATAGTAAAATATGAAAGGAAAAAGAAAAAAAAAAAAAATTATATATAATTTTTTTTTTCATACTGTCACCAGTCAGTGTCCCTGATCACCGCCATGCCAGTTATGACACTGTACTGCACTGGTGACAGTGTGTAAAAAAAAAAAAAAAATTGTGAAAATATTTTTTTTAATTTTTTCATTTTCCGAAAAATTATGACAAAAAAAAATACAACTTCAAAAAACTCGCCATTCCTCTTATGAAGTACGTCGGACTGTCTACTCTTCAAAAAGGGGTCATTTGGGGGATATCTGTCATTTGGGGATATCTGTCCTAACATTTGGGGATATCTGTACCGTTCTGACATTTGGGGGATATCTGTACCGTCCTGACCTTTGGGGGACATCTGTACCGTCCTGACATTTGGGGGATATCTGTCCTCTCCTGACATTTGGGGATATCTGTACGGTTCTGACATTTGGGGGATATCTGTACCGTCCTGACATTTGGGGGATATCTGTACCGTCCTGACATTTGGGGGATATCTGTACCGTTCTGACATTTGGGGGATATCTGTACCGTCCTGACTAGAGATGAGCGAATCGAACCAGGCGAACCGGAATTCGAGTCGAATTTCAGGAAATATTCGATTCGCGTTGAATCCGAAATTTTGCCTACTTCGGGAGCGCGAATCGAATATTTCCCGATCAGCCGGCAAAAGTGTCCCTGCAGTGAGTTCCGCTATTTCTGACAGTTCTCTGACAGAAGGAACACATGTAAAGCGGTTTTGAAACATTGTATCTATTAGTTTCCATTTAGGATACAGATGTTTCAACCGCTGTACATGTGAAGAAGCTGTCAGAGAACTGTCAGAAATAGAGGAACTCTGCACATACACTTTTTGTCCGGTTTGGAATTCTAATTTTCATCCTACTTCTTCTTCTTCTACTTCTTCATCCTCATCCTCAGAAGAAGAAGAAGAGGATGAGGATGAGGATGAAGAAGAAGAAGAAGAAGATGTAGGATGAAAATAAGAATAATTCCAAGCCGGCAAAAAGTGTATGTGCAGAGTTCCTCTATTGTGCAGAGTTCCTCTATTCTGCAGATACACTTAGAGGAGCTCTGCAGATACACTTAGAGGAGCTCTGCACATACACTTTTTGCCGGCTTGGAATTAATCTTATTTTCATCCTACTTCTTCTTCTTCTTCTTCTTCATCTCATCCTCATCCTCAGAAGAAGAAGAAGAGGATGAGGATGAGGATGAAGAAGAAGAAGAAGTAGGATGAAAATAAGAATAATTCCAAGCCGGCAAAAAGTGTATGTGCAGAGCTCCTCTAAGTGTATCTGCAGATAGTGTATAGAGGAACTCTGCACATACATTCCATAAATGGATCCATTTATGGAAACAAATGATACAATGTTTCAACCGCTGTATGGAAGGACAGTCCCAGAACTGTCAGAAATAGTTATTTCTGACAGTTCTATGACATTCCTCCCTCCATACAGCGGTTGAAACCGCTGTATGGAGTGAATGTCCCAGAACTGTCAGAAATAGACTATTTATGACAGTTCTGGGACATTCACTCCATACAGCGGTTTCAACCGCTGTATGGAGGGAATGTCATAGAACTGTCAGAAATAGACTATTAATGACAGTTCTGGGACACTCACTCCATACAGCGGTTGAAACATTGTATCTATTTGTTTCCATAAATGGATCCATTTATGGAAACAAATAGTTTCAACCGCTGTATGGAGTGAATGTCCCAGAACTGTCAGAAATAGTCTATTTCTGACAGTTCTATGACATTCCCTCCATACAGCGGTTGAAACCGCTGTATGGAGTGAATGTCCCAGAACTGTCAGAAATAGACTATTTCTGACAGTTCTGGGACATTCACTCCATACAGCGGTTGAAACATTGTATCTATTTTTTTCCATAAATGACATTCTGCAAATACACTTAGAGGAGCGCTGCAGATACACTTTTTGCCGGCTTGGAATTAATCTTATTTTCATCCTACTTCTTCTTCTTCATCCTCATCCTCATAAGAAGAAGAAGAGGATGAGGATGAAGAAGAAGAAGAAGTAGGATGAAAATAAGAATAATTCCAAGCCGGCAAAAAGTGTATCTGCAGCGCTCCTCTAAGTGTATCTGCAGAATGTCATTTATGGAAAAAAATAGATACAATGTTTCAACCGCTGTATGGAGTGAATGTCCCAGAAATAGACTATTTATGACAGTTCTGGGACATTCACTCCATACAGCGGTTTCAACCGCTGTATGGAGGGAATGTCATAGAACTGTCAGAAATAGACTATTTATGACAGTTCTGGGACTGTCCTTCCATACAGCGGTTGAAACATTGTATCTATTTGTTTCCATAAATGGATCCATTTATGGAAACAAATATAGATACAATGTTTCAAACCGCTGTATGGAAGGAATGTCCCAGAACTGTCATTAATAGTCTATTTCTGACAGTTCTATGACATTCCCTCCATACAGCGGTTGAAAACCGCTGTATGGAGTGAATGTCCCAGAACTGTCAGAAATAGACTATTTATGACAGTTCTGGGACATTCACTCCATTTATGGAAACAAATAGATACAATGTTTCAACCGCTGTATGGAAGGAATGTCCCAGAACTGTCTTCTAGTCTATTTCTGACAGTTCTATGACATCCCTCCATACAGCGGTTGAAACCGCTTGTATGGATGATTGATCTGTCCCAGAACTGTCAGAAATAGACTTATTTCATGACAGTTCTGGGACATTCACTCTTCTCCTTCTTCTCAACCTTCTCCTTCTTCAATCCTTCCCCTGTATGGAGGGAATCTCATAGAACTGTCAGAAATAGACCTATTAATGACAGTTCTCCTTCCTTCCATACAGCCTTGAAACATCCTATCTCCTTCTTCTCATCCTTCCATTTATGGAAACAAATAGATACAATGTTTTCAACCTTCTGTATGGAAGGAATGTCCCAGAACTGTCTCCTAATCTTCTATTTCTGACCTTTCTATCCTTCCCTCCATACTTCGGTCATCGCTTATGGGGTGAATTCCCAGAACTTCTCCTTCAGAAATAGACAGAAACTGTCATCCTTCTCCTGTCCTTCTTCTCATCCTTCTCCTTCTTCTTCTCATCTCCTTCTTCTCATCCTTCTCCTTCTTCTCATCCTTCTCCTTCTTCTCATCCTTCTCCTCTCCTTTCTTTCTTCCTTCTCCTTCTTCTCATCCTTCTTCTCATCCTTCTCCTTCTTCTCATCCTTCTCCTTCTTCTCATCCTTCTCCTTCTTCTCATCCTTCTCCTTCTTCTCTTCTTCTCATTCCTTCTCCTTCTCCTTCTTTCATCCTTCTTCTCATCCTTCTCCTTCTTTCTCACCTTCTCCTTCTTCTCATCCTTCTCCTTCTCCTTCTTCTCATCCTTCTCCTTCTCATCTTCTCATCCTTCTCCTTCTCCTTCTTCTCATCCTTCTCCTTCTTCTCTCATCCTTCTCTCCTTCGTCTCATCCTTCTCCTTCTTCTCATCCTTCTCCTTCTTCTCATCTCTTCTCCTTCTTCTCATCCTTCTCCTTCTTCTCATCCTTCTCCTTCTTCTCATCCTTCTCCTTCTTCTCATCCTTCTTCTCATCCTTCTTCCTTCTTCTCATCCTCTCCTTCTTTCTCCTTCTTCTCATCCTTCTCCTTCTTCTCATCCTTCTCCTTCTTCTCATCCTTCTCCTTTCCTTCTTCTCATCCTTCTCCTTCTCCTTCTTCTCATCTCTTCTCCTTCTTCTCATCCTTCTCCTTCTCCATCTTCTCATCCTTCTCCTTCTCCTTCCTTCTCATCCTTCTCCTTCTTCTTCTCCTTACCTTCATCCTTCTCCTTCTCCTTCTTCTCATCCTTCTCCTTCTCCTTCTTCTCTCCTTCTCCTTCTCTCATCCTTCTCATCCTTCTCCTTCTTCTCATCCTTCTCCTTCTCCTTCTTCTCATCCTTCTCTCCTTCTTCTCATCCTTTCTCCTTCTCCTTCTTCTCATTCTCTCCTTCTCCCTTCCTCATCTCCAAGGGCATTTAAATTAAAGGTACAGTGTTCTGCACTAATTTAAAGGCTCTCTGAAGCCTAGAAACCCTTTTTATAAGTTAACTTCGTAGCGAAGAAATTCGCATTCGATCGAATCGAATTTCATACTGGAATTCGCCGAATCAGCCGAATCGAATTTTTGAGAAATTCGCTCATCTCTAGTCCTGACATTTGGGGGATATCTGTACCGTCCTGACATTTGGGGGATATCTGTACCGTCCCCTGACCTTTGGGGTGATATCTGTACCGTCCTGACATTTGGGGGAATATCTGTAACCGTCCTGACATTTTGGGGAATATCTGTCCCGTTCCTGACATTTGTTGAATATCTGTCCCGTCCTGACATTTGGGGAATAATCTGTACCGTCCTGACATTTGGGGAATATCTGTCCGTCCTGACATTTGGGGGATATCTGTCCCGTCCTGACATTTGGGGGATATCTGTAACCCCTGACATTTTGGGGGATATCTGTTACCGTTCTGACATTTGGGGCATGATATCTGTACCGTCTGACATTTGGGGGATATCTGTACCGTCCTGACATTTGGGGGATATCTGTACCGTTCCTGACATTTGGGGATATCTGATTACCGTCCTGACATTTGGAAAAGGGGGATATCTGATTACGTCTGACATTTTGCTGAAAAGGATAACTGTACCGATTCTGACATTCTTGGACCTAAGTCCTCAATTAGACTTGGCTGTCCAGTACTTCAGGCATTGAATCAAGCCACTTCTGATCTGGATACCATAGGTTTGTGAACTCTATAACTTCCTACCAAATAAATAATAAAGGATTGCTAAGGGCTTTAGGGTTATTTTCCCCAAAGACCATGTGAGGGCCAGTGGAATTTTTAACTATCTGGTTTAAATTTATGAAGCCAACAATTCATTTATTTGTAAACTTGGCCTAACAGAAACATATTCGAAAAGAACATGTTATTTTTTTTTCAAAATTTTTGGGCTTTTCATTTATCATAATTAGTCAAAAATAAAACCACAGCGGGTGATTAAATTACCACCCAAAAGAAAGCACTAGTTTATGTGACGTAAATGATACAATTTTAGTTTGGTTGTGCAATGTAATTCCCCCCGACCCGCGCAATTATGTCCATTCAAAGTGTGAAGAGTGCTGAAACCTGAAAATTGTCCCCCCCCTGGGCAGGAGGTGTAAAAGGTGCCCGGTATTGAATGGTTAAAGGACACTTATCCACTGCTTCCTTTACAAAGGGCTGTTATTCCCGTGCCCAATCCGCTATTTCAAAAGTCAAAAGTTCCATACAATTTCCCTAACAGGGTTTTCCACCTTTCACTCTGTCAAAACTTAAAATCAAACCACAGCTATTTAGCTCTCCTGGCTTGTAACACCGAATTCTGCCACTCTGGCCTTCTAATTCAGGCTTACAGCTGTCTCCTGCAGACTCATTGCTAAATGCTTTTCTAAACACACCACACTGACACGTTTGCACAAATAGAAGCCCCTTATGCTCGAAGGCTTAACCACACTACTCTCCAATAGTGGAGCCACTCCTTACTTCCTGGTCAATGACCTCCTTGTCTGCCGGGGGTTAAGGCCCAGAATTCCATTGGTCCCATGTTATTGTTTAAAGCCCTGCAACACCTGTCAACCATTAGTGCACTGGGGGTTCATAAAAAACATGGACCCAGGATTGGAGATTTTTTTCCCTCCCAGATCTCTTTGAAATTCCAGGCTCCAGATCACAAAAAAATAGGACTCCGTAACGAAGCAAATGTGTGGAAATGAAAAGCCAGTTTCCTCTGCAATAAGTAAACCCCTCTGGAGCCCTCAACCTATGTTTGAGTGAAATCTGTCCAACATTAAACTGCGGCTGTATGGTCTAGATGTCATGTCAAATAACAAATAAAAAAAGCAAAATCAAACCCCCCCCCCCACCCCCCACCCCCAAAATAACAAAAAAGAGGAGAAAATACAAACACCAAAAAAAAACACACAATTTGATAAATAGGGTGGCGAAACGAAGTAGGCGAAGTGGAATTCGGAAGGTAAAATT